ACAAAAAAGCTATTTTTAGCACTTAGGTCACAGTAAAGGTCAATGACCTTGACGTTATTTGCTAAGTTAGTTAATTAGTGGCGTATGCATACTAAATATTAAGTCTCTATCTTTCATGGTTCAAAAGTTATGGGAAAAGTTAAAATTTGCAGAAAAATCTATTTTTAGCATAAAGGTCATAGTCAGGGTTACAAGACCATTGACCATGGTGTCCTTTGATAGGATTTAAAATTTATACCTATTATATTTGGTCTATAAGTCCTTCAGGGCAGGCCTGTCCCTAAATAAAATTTATACCTATTATGCTTATAGACGGACTATATTTCAATGTAAAACTTTGATCGTCCCTTCTGGCCCCGCCCTGCCCCCGGGGGTCATAATTTGAACATACTTTTATCTACACTACCTAAGGATGATTTCATATAAGCATGACTAGCTATGGCTTCGCTGTTATTGAGAAGAAGATTTTTTAAAGATTTTTCTTATATATTTCTATGTAAAAATTTGATCGTAGTTTCATCTTTCCAGCCACAGTTTTTTTTTTAGAAGAATTTTTTTTTAAACATGCCACCAACTTTTTACCAATTCCCAATTATCTCCCCTTAAATTTGGGCGTGACCCTTCATTTGAAGAAACTTGAATCTCTTTCACCCAAGAATGCTTTATGGCAAGTTTGGTCGAAATTGTCCCAGGGTTTCTGGAGAAGAAATCGAAAATGTGAAAAGTTTACAGACGGACAGACAGACATACAGCTAAGACAGACAGCTAGACAGACGGGCGACGGACAAAATGTGATTGGAAAAGCTCACTAGATATTTCTTCAAAGAGGAAATAAAAAAGAATCACAAACACTCATTAAGCTTAAAAGTCTAAATGATACAAGATCTTTGCTGAGCAAAAAAGGACGTCGAAATGCATCGGACATAAAATCGGAGACTGACCGCCACACTGGACGACTGGAGAGTAGTTGCAAGAGAAGCTCGTTCTAGAAGGACATTCCGACAGCATGTTCTCTGTTCCTCTACAACTGACCGACGTCTTGGTATAGTCATATCTCCTGAACTTTGAAGTTGAATATACAACTTCCCTGAAAGAATAGCATTTTCCATTAAATGATAAGATGTGTTCATTTTATACTAAATCTTCGGCAACTAAAATAATTGCTTGTGATTTAACCAATATTTATTCAGTATAAACTGAATAGATTGGGCAACAGGCTAAAAGCCTATAATAATTGCTAAATATAATAACTAACATCCTTGTTTTATTTACTATAGACGTACCTTTTTCCACGGGGTCATAATTCCGCGGAATCTCAATTTCTGTATAATCCGCGGGTAGAAAATTACGCGGATCTACTAGATTGTCACTATATGCCTTACAGTACTTTAAGGTGTAATTACTTGTCAACATTTTTGACCCTCTAGACTTTTAAGACCAATATATAACATTAAAGTTTTGCATAATGACAGGTAACTGGAAATCGTATCTAAAGATAGTATTAGATAAATATGTGTACTAGTATAAAATATTCATTTTATGATCATCATTTTGAAAATTATAAATTGATAAAGGTCGAATTACTAACAAAATTAACGGAACAGCCTTATTAATCAAACAATAAACCCGTATGTAAAGCTTTCGCATATGCGAAAGCATATAACTATCTTGAAAAGCAGTAGTTACCCCGACATCCTCACTGTTGACAATTCAGGCCTCTGTTCAATAGAGCGAGTGCTCGCGAACATTTCTATTGGAGGTATTACAAGAAAGAAGATGGGCGCATTTGGCGTGTGATCTACAGGAGTCATTTGTACGAAACATTTATGGTTTAATTAAATGTCCATGATTTGGTTGGCTGATCAAGGCGGCCCCTGCCTAAATCTTGCGCCCCCCTCTAACTTCAATTCCTGGATCCGCCCCTGAAACATAGCTGGTCAGATTTTACCAACACGTCCATAGGTTCTTTTTTCTTTTTCATTTAGTTTGAGAGACCATGTGATATTTTAACATCTATGCCCGTTTTCCCTACGAGGACAATAACATAGTAATGTTTCACAAAAAAACCCAGCTAAAATATTTAATGCACAGATGCATGATATGACTTGTGCACTCGTACATTATAGAATAGAAGATTGGAATTGATTTCGCTCGAGAACCAAACTGAAATTTATCCAATTCAAAATTTTAATACATCAGAACATAAAACGAAACTGACAAAATAAATGGTTGTTTGCATGAAAAAAAAAATTAACGCACCATGCCAGGCTCAAACCAAAAACTTTTCGCTTCGAGCGCACTGAACAGGTAACCCTTCTTACTGAGCTATCACCGCTACATGTATTTAGTTGATTTAAAAAGGACAAAGAAGCATCACATTCACACATTTGGATTTTTTTTGGGGGGAAAGTACATTTTTCGTGTTCTCTGGGTCTTCTCTCCATTTTTTAAAAATGTGTATTCGTTTCTTTGAATTAAAATACACACAAATAACGTTTCAAAATCATGGAGAGAAGACACAGAGATAGTAAAATTTTAGAAAAACGTGTTTAAAAATGTACCATTTTGTAGCAAATTCTGATCAGGCCAATTTTCAAGTTATTTTTTAGTAACTCAAAACTCAATTTCGGGTAAATATTTTTCTTTTCCTGTTGCACATGAACCCGATAAAAAAAGTTATAAAATTTCATGTGACATGTCGATCAAATTTTTACTTTTCGATTACGCTTGGATTCCTGCCGAATGCCAATCAAAAGCGCCCTCGTTCTTTGGCGGGCGTTGGCGAACGTTCTGTTCAACAGGCCTCAGGTCGTCAGCTTCGCTTCCATTCAAGTGAAACTGTCGGTACAGCAGCGCATTTACACATGTATGGTAATAATATAATTTTGATTTGTGTATTTACAAGTCATTTGTCCTTTTATCATTGTATGTAAAAAGTAAAACAGGGATCTTGAAAACTCCGCGATACATACGTGCTAAGGTTAAGATGTCGGCAGATAACTAAAGCGTTAGACTTCAGGTTGTTATTACAGATATCAGACCATCCATCACCTTTGAAGACTTGCACATAATTTTCCTGACTTAGGCGCACATTGTCTGTAACAAAAAAAATTTACATTTTACATGCACTTTAACTTTAGAAACATTATTTACGTCTTTCATATACCAAGAATGAAAATTTTAAACATTATTATCCGCAGTTTTGTTATTTTTCATAACACATAATGAATTTAGTTGTAAATATGTAAAATACTAATGACACAAAGATTATATACGTAAATTGCAATACTTTTAAAGTACATATTTGAATACATATTTCTTATACAAGAAGAATAAAATTTAACTTACCTGTGCAATTGTGCTCCGACTGCGTAAATTTTTTTTTGCAAATGCATGATACTTTATTCGATTCCTCATAGCAATCCGAAACGTTCAAGTTGCAGGTATGAAGACCAACTTGGCAGTTGCAGGAGAACCCGGTATACCCTGGCTTACAAACACATTCTCCAGTCTCCATATCGCAGAATTCTGTATTATAGGTATTGCACGGACAGTCTTCTTCACAATTGTCACCATATTTCATGTGAGGGCATTCTAAAAACATTAACTTTCTTGAACAATAGACCCCTTCAAAATAACTGCAGTACTGCACTTTTGTAGGGCAGAATGATACATTTTGGTGAAATATGACGTAAAAGTAATTGCTTAATTTACTTCATTTAATTATCTTTCGACAAAAAATTTGCCAAAATTTATTAAGTTGTCCTGCAAAATAGTACTGCAGTTATCGAGAAGGGGCTTATTATAAATTAGTAAAATATATACAGAAAATGAGGAAAAAAATGACCTTGAAAACATGTCTTTTTTTTAAGAAAGTGCGATTTATGAAATTGTATCAAATTAAAAAAAATATAAAGGATTTATAAAGTAACTGATAAGGTTTACTTTTGCGAAATTTTAAGTAAAACAATTTCTGGGCAAACTGGTTTCAGTTTTTAAAGAAGCTTTATTTCACGTAGAATACTCCTTTAAACATAAAATGATAAAGATCGAGTTTTACAAGGCTGTCAGAAACGTCGGTATTGTTTCAAATGTATAATGCCTGAAATAAATCCTTTTTGGAATATGTTTGAATTGTATGTCATGGGTAACTTTAGGTTCCATCAATGACCCTTGTTTTCATTTTTCTTATTCCAGTATGTCAAAAAAATATTAACAGTGAAATGTAGTACTTCACAGAAACAACCCAAACCACACTCTCTCTATTAATTGATGACAGTGGAGTGATTTCGAGTATTAGTTAATAACAAGAGGCCCGGAGGCCACATTGATCACCTGAGCACACCGGCTAGGAAAAAGCACAAATTAGATCACAATTGAAAAATTTACTGAGGGGTTGGGGGAGTGGGATTGAATTCTATTACTATTTGAGAATGCCTCCATTTCAATACCGCATATAACTTATTGAGAAATTTCTTAAGAAAAAGATTTCTGTTAACATTTTGTTTGTATATATTACTTTGTAATAATTTGAATTTGACTCAACATTGTTTCCCTCCCTACCCCAAAGGGTACTCATGATTTGAAAAAATTTAAATCTTCAATACATGAGGATGCTTACGGGTCAATTCGACTGAACATACCTTTTCTGTTATAGGGATTTTTTCCCTTTATTTAATATTTTCCTATGTAAAACTTTGATCCACCATTGAGACCCTTCCCTACCCTAGGGGGTTATGATTTGAACAAAGTTAATTCTACACTACCTGAGGATGCTTCCATATAAATAGCACTAATCATGGCTTTGCTATACACCCATCTCTGGGGGTTATGATTTGAACAAACTAGAATCTACACTGTACAATACCTGAGGATGCTTTCATATAAATATCACTAATCATGGCTTTGCAGTACTTGAGAAGCAAATTTTTAAAGATTTTCCTATATATTTCTATGTAAAACTTTGATCGGCCATTGTGGCCCAATCCTACCCCCTAGGGTCATGATCTGAACAAACTTAATAGACACTACCTGAGGATGATTCAACGTGAGTTTCATATCTCTTGTCCCTATGGATCTTGAGAAGAAGATTTTTAAAAAAAAATGCCATTCATTTTTCATATTAATTTATAATTATCTCGACGTCTCCATATGAGTGAAAAATTCTCGAGAGGGACTTTAAACAATATACAATCAGTCAATCAATATAATTATCTCCCCTTGGAAGAGGGCTTGGCCCTTCATTTGAAAACACTTGAATCCCCTTACCCAAGGAAACTTTGTGGCAAGTTTGGTTGAAATTGGCCCAGTGGTTCTTGAGAAGAAGATAAAAATGTGAAAAGTTTACTATAACAACTAAAGCTCACTCTAAAATAAATGGATGTAGCAAAAAAAAAAAAAGGAAATTCATTTTTTAAAAGACCACTTTCATCAATATCAAGAGTTCC